AGGGGAGGCGGCTAAAATGATCAGGGATTGGATCACCACAGTTGAGGTAACCTTTTCCACCAAAGTTCGTGGTTTTCAAAGTGACAGAGGTTGTGAATTCACTGGTTCTGCTTTACAGGATTTCTTTAGGGAGAAGGGGATTAGCCACCATCTGACCGCTCCTTGCTCTCCGCAACAGAATGGGCTGGCAGAGAGAAAGAACAGGACGGTGCAGGAAGCTGTGTCTGCAATCCTGTGGGACGCAGGGCTACCCCAGAAATATTGGTCCGAAGCTTGGAGATTTGTAATCCATACGCAGAATAGAGTGTACAACTCTAGTGTAGGAAACACACCGTATTTCTTACTGCATGGTAAGAAGCCTAAGGTACACTACCTTCGTGTGTTTGGTTGTGAGGCTTGGGTGCTTATTCCAAAGGCTCTACGCAAGAAAGGTGAGCCAAGATCTAAAAGAATGATCTTTGTAGGGTATGAGCCTGGCTCAAAGGCCTGGCGGTTTGCGTACCCAAGTGGAGACCAGTCTAGGTTGGTTATCAGCAATAGCGCTGAGTTCTGTGAGCAAGCTGGTTGGAAGCGTCTGCACGCTAATCCAGATATGATTCCACAGCAGTTCTATGACTCAGACGTTGAGGAGGAAGAGGAACTTGGTGCTGGGGACCACGGTCCAGAGCGACAGAGTCCAAGGCAGGGACAGCTCAGGATCCCTCAGAGGGGGGAACCTAGAACACCTCCTCAGGCAAGTGTCAAGTCTGAGCCAAAGAGTGAGCCTTCTTCACCTGCTGGACCAGCTGTAAGGCCCAAGAGGCGCAGCAGGTCAGAGGGGGAAGACACTGAAGTTGAGGATGGTTTAGCTGGACCCAGTGAAGCAGCAGGGTCACCAGGATTCACACTGAGGAGATCAGCGAGGACAAGGAGGCCTCCTGATCGGTACGACGCTTCAGGCGTCTGGGTAGGTTCTGCAAGATGTGAACCTGAATCCTTCGAGGATATTCAGAGTTTACCTGAGGAAGAAGCAGGCAAGTGGCACAGGGCAATGGACAAAGAGATGAAGTCCATGAAAGATCTAGGTGTGTTCTCACTCACAGAGTTGCCACCGGGCAAGCAGGCTGTGAGTTGCAGGCGGGTTTACCGCTTGAAACCCACTGACGCAGGAGAGCCGCAGTATAAAGCCAGGTTAGTTGCTCGAGGATTTACTCAGAGGAAGGGAATACACTTCACGGAGGTGTATTCGCCAACGTCACAAGCGGAGACTCTGAGAACGCTTTTAGCTTGTGCAGCACAGAGAGGCTGGAAAGTAAACCACTTTGATTTGGATGTTGCCTACCTTAACTCAGATCTCCAGGAGGAGCTGTACATGATTCCTCCTCCCGGGTTTGAGAACTTAAGGCAGGATGTTGTGTGGAGATTGCACAAATCCATCTATGGATTACGTCAATCTGCTAGAAACTGGAACATGTGCCTGAATGAAGCCTTAGAAGAGCTAGGTTTCAGGAGAAGTGTTGCTGATAGTTGCTTTTATTTGAGAGGTTCAGGGGCAACACAAGAGTATTTGCAGATTTGGGTTGATGACGTGCTGTTTTTCTCAGAAACAGATGAACAGGCGGGGAAGTTTGCCAAAGAGCTAGGTAAACGGTTCAAGCTTAAACAGCTTGGTGCTGTCAAAACTTATCTAGGTGTCAGTGTTGAGCGTGCACAGGATGGAAGCTTCTTGCTCAGCCAGAGAGGTAAAATTGAGCAATTGCTTCAGAAAATGAGGATGAGTGATTGTGCAGGAGTGAGAAGTCCTATGGAGATTAGTTTTGTGAAGGACAGCCAGCAAGTAGAACACGCTGTGTTCGAAAATACTGAAGTGTTTCAGTCAGCCCTAGGGAGTTTGTTGTACTTGTCCCAGTGGAGCAGACCTGATATAGCGTTTGCTGTCAATCTGCTCAGCAGGGAAGCTTCAAACCCTAGTGTGCAAGCCTGGAATGGCATCAAGAGAGTTCTGAGGTATTTGCAGGAGACCAAAGACTTTTGTCTTAGGTTGCCAGCACAAGGAGAAGTCAAACTGACTTGCTTTGTGGACTCGGATTGGGCTAATCTTGAGGATCGCAAGTCTGTGTCTGGCCTAGTGGTGAAGTTTGGGAACTCAGTAGTTGGATGGAGGTCCAAGAAGCAAAGTCTTATAGCGCTCTCGTCCACTGAGGCTGAGTTTAGTGCTCTTTCAGAGGTGTGCAGAGAAGTAGAGTTCTATGCTTGCTTGGTGCAGGAACTCTGCGAAGTGGATTGTCAGCCGATACGTGTTTTTGAGGACAATCAACCATGCCTGCGTTTGGCAGAGTCAGGTCAATTCAAGGCCAGAACTAAACACCTAGACATTCGCTTTCGGATTGTGTACCAGAGTGTTCAGGAGGGATTAGTTGTGCTGAAGTATTGTCCCTCTGCCAAGAACCTAGCTGATGGGTTCATGAAGCCACTCACCTTCCAAAGACATGGGGAGTTTTGCAAAGGTCTGGGTTTGGGAGAACCAAGGGTCAATTCTCCCCTCAGGCGCGAGACAAGAGGGGGTGTTGGGTGTAGTGAAGGGTTAACCTTTTGTGTCTCGAGGCTGAGAAGAGGCGCTTACAAGGGAAGTAAGCCAGGACGTGACGAAAGCAGCTTGGAATGCTGTGAGCTGAGTGAAAAGTGAAAGCAGTTTTGTTGCGTAGCTGCAAACTGAGAGCAGGACGCAGAGAAAATGCAGCTTGAATCAGATGGAAGTTCTTGATTGTAAATATGCTACTTTTGAGCAAATAAAGAGATATTAGGACAGAAGAAACGTGTGGGACTTGATTACTGCTCTTTCAAACACACGACCGCTGTGCAACTTTGCTATCCGCTAATTGCTTTACGACCGTTCGAAAGCCACACTGCGTAAACAGAAGCTACAGAGGCTCGCAGGGGAAGCGTGGCTGGGCGCCGAACAATAAAGCAATAACCCCCTACTATGAACAATATGGTTTGATATAAAAATTGGAGTATGGATGAATATGCAGTTGTAGATATTCAAAATAACACTCCATGAAGGGGATGGGGGGAAGTCTCGAGATTCAGAGAATCTCATAGAGATATATTTTTACTTGCTTGTGTTTATTCGTAAAACCAATAAAAAAGATTTTTAAAAAAGAAAGTAAAAAAAAATCAGTAGATTTGGCTTTAAATGCAAATTGATTCGAGCTTCTCCTCCATCGCTAGTGCTACATGGGGGAAAGGGTTGGTAAACACAGCTCTAAGTACAGTGGTACCTCGGGTTACAGATGCTTCAGGTTATAGACGCTTCAGGTTACAGACTCTGCTAACCCAGAAATAGTACCTTGGGTTAAGAACTTTGCTTCAGGATGAGAACAGAAATCGTGCTCTGGCGGCGCAGTGGCAGCAGGAGGCCCCATTAGCTAAAGTGGTGCTTCAGGTTAAGAACAGTTTCAGGTTAAGAACGGACCTCCAGAACGAATTAAGTACGTAACCCGAGGTACCACTGTACATTCAGTTGAATGTGCAAAGTTTCCCCCTTCAGTCCTTTTGCTCAACAGATGAAATGTTCAAGCTGTGAAAGCAGTGTTGGGGCAGAGCTAGCACAAGTGAGTTTTGTTTGTTTATTCCACTCACCCTGCTTCTTTCAGATGCTCAAATCAGCCCTGCTCCCCATTGTGTGTGAAAGCAAGGCTGTCAATTTCCCCCAATGTGTGAGAGGGCGGTGAGCAAATATGACCAGGGACCGAATTTGACCAGAGACTAAAATCCATTACTTAAATATTTATTGCAACTTTCAGGGACAGTGTTTTCAAGTAAAAATCAAGATACAATCATTACATGGGAAGCAAAACAGAATATAGATTGCCACTTAACTTTTAAACTTTGATATAAATATTAAGAAAAGTGAGAACAATATAAAAGAGAGGTAGTCAATTTATAAGATCGAGAATATCGGCCTGAAAAGAATTTTTTTTTAATTGGTAACACAAACTAAAAAATGAGCAGTCATGTGACATTCAACTCCCGAGAATGCAACATAATGCAATCTAAGCTCACTCTCATTTTCTTCTGATGAACTTTGCCACCATCCCTACCACAGACTCATATTTTCAACAACATCTACTGTAATTTGCCCAGTTCAAGCAAGGAGACCTCCTCCAGTCTCTGGTCATAATTAGGCATTTTAGGCCTCATTGTCAGGTGTGGGGCTGGTAAATGTGGACTGCGTAAAGCAATGCTTAGCTGGCAACTATGAACTCACCAAGGAACATCCCACCCCACCCTAATCTCTAAGACAATTGTGCATTTGAAGGTGGGGGGGCGGGGCTTATTTTGAAAACTTCCAGAGAATGAAGGAATGCATAAATGAGTGGGCAGAAGTGAATGGTCCTCCTCTCTAGAGCACAGAGGAGGAGCACAGCTGAGAACTGAAGGAGCATTTCATTCACAACTAGGGATAACCAGGTGTACTTATGATGGGAATTGTGCACTGTGAAGTGGAGGCTCTCCTGTGATCACGGGGGCTCCCTCTGCATTCAGGACTCTGGAAAATAATTGATCTAAAACGTGTGTGGGAGCCTTCAGAAGTCTCCCCACAAGGCACAGCCATCATGCTATTTCTGGAGGGTCATTTGGGTGGCGTATTGGTAGTAGAGCCTGCGGATTTGCCCTTCCACCCAAAGCCCCTCAAGAGATTACAGTACATGCCATCAAAATGGCAACAGAAGTCTTTTGTCTGTCATTTGGATTACAGTTCATGAAGGCCTGACTTCCACCGTGGGGAAGGGACAAAAAGAATTGCTTAATATTTATTGTGTCTTTCTGAGATCCACACTCAAAAGCAGCAGCTTTTGAGCAGACGGTGGTGGCGGTTAGATTGATTGGATTGTAATCATTGCATTCTTACAACGCTTCGTATTTCCATTCAAATGCACCCCCAAAGCAGCTTCCAAAACAAAATAGCAAATTGAGGAGGGAAGGAGCGAAGGGAAAGGCTGATGGGTTAAAACAACTTAAGGATATTCATCAGAACAGTAGTCGTAATAACAGCATGTCATTTTCTCTCTGCGATATTCATGCCATTCCTGTCCACACAAGAATTTTAATGGGAAATTGCCACAGAATTTTTGCATTTGAAGAAATTCATCCGTACCAGCTGGAGAGAAAAGGGGAAATATTTGTGTTAGTATTAACGAGTGAACGATGAGAACTTTGTGGACTTTGTCCACAGAACGTATCAAAACAGAAGAGAACATATTTAAAGTTAAAATAAAATACTTTTCAACTCCATTTTTTTAAAGGTATACCTAAAACAGAATCTCGAGTTTATTCTGCAAAAGCTACTACAATGTCAACATTAAAATAAAAGTTGCAACATGTGAACGATGCATGTCAAAATAAATACATATCCTTAAATCTCAGAATTTCTGCTGCAATTGTTTAAAATAGGTTGCAAACACCTTTTTCCTCAGACTGCAAAAGAGGCTGACTTCCAAATGACGTATCAGTTTGTTCCTTGTAATAAAAAAAAGGAAGCCTCATTTTCATCCTATCTGCAGTATTTCATCTTCTTAAGTAAGGCCCCCTATGCTTTTGAATTATGGTGCTGGAGGAGACTCTTGAGAGTCCCATGGACTGCAAGAAGATCAAACCTCTCCATTCTGAAGGAAATCAGCCCTGAGTGCTCACTGGAAGGACAGATCCTGAAGCTGAGGCTCCAATACTTTGGCCACCTCATGAGAAGAGAAGACTCCCTGGAAAAGACCCTAGAATCATAGAATCATAGAATCATAGAGTTGGAAGAGACCACAAGGGCCATCGAGTCCAACCGCCTGCCAAGCAGGAAACACCATCAGAGAACTCCTGACATATGGTTGTCAAGCCTCTGCTTAAAGACCTCCAAAGAAGGAGACTGCACCACACTCCTTGGCAGCAAATTCCACTGTCGAACAGCTCTTACTGTCAGGAAGTTCTTCCTAATGTTTAGGTGGAATCTTCTTTCTTGTAGTTTGGATCCATTGCTCCGTGTCCGCTTCTCTGGAGCAGCAGAAAACAACCTTTCTCCCTCCTCTATGTGACATCCTTTTATATATTTGAACATGGCTATCATATCACCCCTTAACCTCCTCTTCTCCAAGCTAAACATGCCCAGCTCCCTTATCCGTTCCTCATAAGGCATCATTTCCAGGCCTTTGACCATTTTGGTTGCCCTCCTCTGGACACGTTCCAGTTTGTCAGTGTCCTTCTTGAACTGTGGTGCCCAGAACTGGACACAGTACTCCAGGTGAGGTCTGACCAGAGCAGAATACAGTGGCACTATTACTTCCCTTGATCTAGATGCTATACTCCTATTGATGCAGCCCAGAATTGCATTGGCTTTTTAGCTGCCGCATCACACTGTTGGCTCATGTCAAGTTTGTGGTCAACCAAGACTCCTAGATCCTTTTCACATGTACTGCTCTCAAGCCAGGTGTCACCCATCTTGTATTTGTGCCTCTCATTTTTTTGCCCAAGTGCAATACTTTACATTTCTCCCTGTTAAAATTCATCTTGTTTGTTTTGGCCCAGTTCTCTAATCTGTCAAGGTCGTTTTGAAGTGTGATCCTGTCCTCTGGGGTGTTAGCCACCCCTCCCAGTTTGGTGTCATCTGCAAATTTGATCAGGATGCCCTTGAGTCCATCATCCAAGTCGTTGATAAAGATGTTGAATAAGACCGGGCCCAAGACAGAACCCTGTGGCACCCCACTAGTCACTCTTCTCCAGGATGAAGAGGAACCATTGATGAGCACCCTTTGGGTTCGGTCAGTCAGCCAGTTACAAATCCACTGAGTAGTAGCATAGTCAAGACCGCATTTTACCAGCTTCTTTAGAAGAATATCATGGGGCACCTTGTCAAATGCCTTGCTGAAATCAAGGTAGGCTACATCCACTGCGTTCCCTTCATCTACCAGGCTTGTAATTCTGTCAAAAAACGAGATCAGGTTAGTCTGACATGACTTATTTTTCAGAAATCCATGCTGACTATTGGTGATCACAGCATTCCTTTCCAGGTGCTCACAGACTGTTTGCTTAATGATCTGCTCCAGAATCTTCCCTGGTATTGATGTCAGACTGACTGGGCGGTAATTATTTGGGTCCTCTCTTTTCCCCTTTTGAAAATAGGGACAACATTTGCCCTCCTCCAGTCTGCCGGGACTTCGCCTGTTCTCCAGGAATTCTCAAAGATGACTGCCAGTGGTTCTGAGATCACATCTGCCAGTTCTTTTAATACTCTTGGATGCAGTTCATCTGGCCCTGGAGACTTGAATACATCTAAACTAGCCAAGTATTCTTGTACTATCTCCTTAGTTATTCTGGACTGTGTTTCCTCTGCTGAATCATTTGCTCCAAATTCTTCAGGTCGGGCATTGTTTTCTTTATCGGAGAAGACTGAGGCAAAGAAGGCATTGAGGAGTTCAGCCCTTTCTGTGTCCCCTGTTTGCATTTCACCATCTTCTCCTCTGAGTGACCCCACTGTTTTTTTGTTCTTCCTTTTGCTACGAACATACCCATAAAATCCTTTTTTGTTGCTTTTAACCTCTCTAGCAAGCCTGAGTTCATTCTGTGCTTTAGCTTTTCTGACTTTGTGTCTACACGTGCTGGCTATTTGTTTGAATTCCTCTTTGGTGGTTTCCCCCCTTTTCCATTTTTTGTACACATCCTTTTTTAATCTTAACTCAGTTAAAAGTTCTTTCCTGATGTTGGGAAAGATGGAGGGCACAAGGAGAAGGGGACGACAGAGGACGAGATGGTTGGACAGTGTTCTCGAAGCTACCAGCATGAGTTTGACCAAACTGTGGGAGGCAGTGGAAGACAGGAGTGCCTGGCGTGCTCTGGTCCATGGGGTCATGAAGAGTCGGACACGACTAAACGACTAAACAACAACAACACGTAAGGCCCCCTATGTGTGATGTGCTTTGATATAAGAACAGGGCTGGCATTCAAGGACACAATGAGGCAAATCTTCTAGTGTTGCTTCCCCACAGTTACTTAGACGGAGTTATCTGCCCATTTATCTCACCCGTGGCACATGCTCCCATCCCCACCACACTTTGTGGCCTTCTGCTTTCAGTCTGGAATGCCTCAGCAGCATTTTTGTCATGCCCGATTATGAAAGGTGATGGACTTCACAGTTTGGCACCTTTTTCAACCTTGGCAAACTGAGGGTGCAGGAATTTGAGCCATTTCAAGGCTAGCATTCCCACAGCAGTCTGAGGGGAGATGAGACCATGGCTGCTGTATTCCTTTTTTTTCTCTCTCTTACCATTTTAAAGTGTCTGTCAGTCTGCTAGCTGCTTCGGTGGCATGGAAGACAGAAGCCCTACAGAACTTTTGTGACACCCTGCTGCTCTTTCCTCCAAGAGACATTGGTCCTGGCAAGGACGCTGTTATTTTCAAACCTGGTGGAACTCTGACCCATGGGGACACTGGTGTCTCTTGAAAGGAGAGGTAATGGCAGCCATCGCTCTCTGCTCCTGATACTAGACTGCAAATGCTGAACTAAAGCAGAGCTTTCCAAACTTTTCATGTTGGTGACACACTTTTTAGACATGCATCATTTCATAATTCAGTTTTACTACCAAACCAGAGGTTAAACTAACCCCTTTTCCAACCCCAGGAGGAGCGTGGGAGTGTTTGTGCGACACACTGCAGCTGACACACTAATGTGTCACGAGACACAGTTTGGGAAGCTCTGAACTAGAGGGACCTTTGATGTAGTCCAGCAGGTCTCCTCTCTCTCCTCCATAACATCAGGTCATCCTAGTCATGGCATACAAAAGGGAGGAATACAGACAGGAAAATCTACTTACCTTCAAAAACTTCTCCAATCATACAGAAGTCTCCCGTACATGTACGATCAGTTGGAGTGCATGTCTCCTCTGTGTCCCATTTGGAGCAAAACCTGCATATTATAGCATCTGCTGTAAAGGACCAATAATTGTGTTTTATTATTTGTCCCTGCAAACATTGCCCTTATTTAAAACTCGCCACATCAGCTTCATTAGGGGTTAGACCGAGAGTCCCAAGTTGTGGCTCCAAAGAAACAAAGCTCTGTGCCAGGCAGACAATGGGGGGGAGGGGAGACTCCCAGGTGGCAAATGGGAGGGCCCCCTCCCTCTGTTAGAACAGAAAGGCAGAATTTGAATTAAATTATTCGGAGTTGGCTGGGATGTTACCTGGAGAAAAAAGGTTGCACTCCGGTAAAGGAGGCAAGTTAGAGAGAGGACCAGAGCATGGTGGCTGATTTCTGTTTTGAATCCACAGTTGCGGCTGTGGGATAAGCAAGACCAGGGGTAGGCAACCTAAGGCCCTGGGGCCAGATGCAGCCAAATCACCTTCTCAATCCAGCCCACGGACGGTCTGGGAATCAGCATGAGCAGAATGTGTGCTTTTATTTAAAATGCATCTCTGGGTTATCTGTGGGGCATAGGAATTTGTTCTCTCCCCCCCAATGTAGTCTGGCCCACCACATGGTCTGAGGGACAGTGGACCGGCCCACAGCTGAAAAAGGTTGCTGACCTGTGAGCAAGACCCTTTTGGGGTGTCAATGCCATGAACCCCTCCATCGTAGGCTCGGATTGCATATATGTATAAATAAACCTTACGTTATAAAGACAGCACAGTCGCCGCTGTGCCTCATTCCCAAAATAAAACACAAACCCTGGTTTAGCATGCCTGGAACCCCTGAAATCTTGCGCTGATCAGAGATTGGAGTGGTGTACAACAATAACAACACGTCCGTAGCCCTGGCGTGTTAGTTTGTGTATTCACAGAGTTAGCCTTTCAGAAACAGTTGAATCCCAAACACACACAGCCTAAGCCAATACAGGGAAGCCACGTCTTATTCAGACTTTACTTAAGTGATCCCAAGTTTGGCAGGGAAATGATGAATCAAATGGAAAATGGGTGGGGTGGGTGGAAAGAAGGGCTGGTGGCTGGTCCAGGCAGAGCAACACCCCCACCCTCCCTACACACAGAGGCCCCTTCTCTTCCTTTCCACAGCTGGCTCTGAAAAAGCAACCCACCCGAATCCTGTCCCCCAGGCTGGGTGCATTGGGTGAGGGCAATTACTAGAGCAGCAGCAGCCGCCCCGGAAAGGAGTGGAGCAGCAGAATGGGAAACCTGGCATGAAGGGAGCTGTTAAGAGACCCACTGTACTGTAAGCAAGCTGGAGGGCTTAACAGATCTCTCTCCTCACCAGTTTTCCATATGCAAAGAGGAACCCAGTAAATGGCTTGGGGTGGAAGAAAGTTTCTTTCTAAACAAAAGGTCTGCATCTTTGCAGGGAGACGACAGAGGCAGCATCAGCTAGAAAAAGACTGAGGGAGGAGAAGAGAAACTGTGGGAAGAAGTGGGGCTTCTCAAGACCCGAGTAAGTAAACTGGAGGGCTTAACTCAGAGCTCTTAGGGGCTGGAGGTGGTTCTGGGGATTGCTTTGGCTTTGTACAATTTTGTTTATATGCACAACCCCTGGAAATTAACCACCACCACCACAGAAGGCCTGACCATAGCACCGCTCAAAGCACTTGCAGGGTTTCTTCACTTTAGGAAGACAGGCAGATAAATTATATACATTAACTAGTGGCTTGTTTTTCTTTTACCTCTTGTAAGGAGGGATGGGGATGATACTTACCCCCGGACTTGAGGCAAAGTAGAGCACAGACTGCGAGCAGCCAGGCCTGAGCCCAACGTGGGCACCGATTACCAAGAAAGAAGCTCTGTCCCATTGGAAAATCTTTTCTCACTGAGAGACTGGTTTCCGAAGGCTGACAGCTGAGGGACACACTTGGCTCTGTGGCAATAAGCTGTAACAGGAGCACAGCTTCTAGTAAGGAACACACCCCACGGTTTGAAGGACGAGGTTCAAAACAGCTTTTATAAAAGGGATGGGAGGAACCTTCCTAGCTTCTTGGGACATGTGATCCTTGTGGGCTTGAAAGATATGAGAAGCCTCTGGCAATGTGCTGGGGTGGTTCTGAAGAGCGATGGGGATGTGGGTAGCGGTTCCCTTGGGCTGTTTGGGGCCTAATGTACTGATTGTTCAGACAAATACGAACGGGCTAAGGAGGAACCAGCTGAACACTTTACAGAATGTCCCAGGCAGCAGTGGCTTCCAGATGCTATACAACATTGAAGGAATGCTTGTTCCTTTTGGTGGGCTTTCTGTCCACCTCCATATTTCTTGGTTGATCGAGTCCCACAGGATCAAAGCTGCGATTGATGCTTGCAAGTGGGGGCGGGCTGGTTGGTTAGTCAGTTGGGTGAAGCCATTTTATGTTCCATGCTGACTGCAAGGACTTGGAGAAACACCCGTGTATGCTATGGTTGTGCTAACTGATTTGAGTTCCATCAATAGTGCATCTATTTTAGACTATACTCAAAGACATAGGTCCCTGTAACCACACCAGGTGATTTCATGCCTCGCCTTCACATCTTCATGGAGTTTTGTGGCTCCACAATATTAGCTATAGATGCCAATGTATCAATCATAGCCTTGTAGAGTTGGAAGGAATCTCAATAGTCCAACTCCCTGCAATGCAGGAATTTCAATTAAAGAACCTCTGGCAGATGGTCATCCAAACCTCCAATGAAGGAGACTCTGCCACTTTCTAAAGGAGTCTGCTCCACTTTCAAACAACTCCTACTGTCAGAAAGTTCTTCCTAATCTATCAACGTATAGATGTGGTGATGCATCAATCACTGGGGTAGTGGGAAAAGAAAATGATTTGTTTGTGTTACTGTATCTTGGTGGGTATAAGCTGTGGATCCAAACCATGGGGGACCACTAACTGTCAGGAGTTCAGCGTACACTCGAGTAGGACCCCGGCAGAGACACATGCCCGATTGGCATGTTCCCTCCCTCCTGGTCGATCGTTCAGGAGCTTCAAAAGCTTTCTTCAGCCCGAACATCACAGCAACCGCTGCCAACAGACACTGGCACACTTAGGGATCCGCAGAGTCCGCGCAGTTCACATGACAGACCTCAGCAACTCAGCATTTTGGCTAATCTACTTTATTTACATATAAACACGTACGGAGCACTGCAACATGGCTCCCTCTCTCTCTAGCATCAGACAGCAAAGAGAAAAAGAACAAAGGACAATAGTCCCACTGCACGGAACACAGTAACACAAACATCCTGTCTCCGTCACTTCCCACTCTGTGGAGTCAAAACATATATCGTCATATGATAGACGACAATCCCATGACTGCAAACATGGAGCAGGAATTCTAACCCCTCAAAGTCCTCAGTTATTTGGCAGGTATATAAGGGATTAGATGGTTCCTGAGTTATCTTGGACCCAAATTGTTTAGAGGCTTGAAAATCAACACAGCATCCTTAAACCTGGTCCACTAGCATAGGGGCAGCCAATTCTCTTAATTGAGTAGTTAAATCTTGAATATCTGGCTGCACAGATACTACTGCAGCTCTGGCACTGAATAAATAATGTCAGAAAATCAAAGTACTTAACCATGCTTGGAAGTTGGCACTGTAGAATTTGATGGCATAAGTGCGGGAGTAGTTCCTATTAATCATTGCAGGCAATTGGCAACTTGCATGGAGGGAAGAGTGAATCTGTTGACCAGCACGTAATAGCTTTTTCCACTGGTCTTGCCCCAGCTTCCAGCCCTGGAGCCCTCATAAGGAAGTTGTTTCCAGAGAAAGACTCTGTTTGCCCACAGGGGGTGGTTGGTTTCACCTGTGCTGCTCTACTTCCAGCCCAAGGAACCTTCAGAAGGCAGTTGCTGCCATGGGCGTTGGGTGTATGTGCACTTTAATGAACTGAAGAGAAGGAAGGATTATGAGTCATGGGAGTTGCAGAGCATTTGTGTATGAACTAAGCGGCCTCGGCCCAGTATACATGAAGGAGTGTCTCCACCCCTCTCGTTCTGCCCGTACACTGAAGTCCAGCTCCGAGGGCCTTCTGGCGGTTCCCTCACTGCAAGAAGTGAGGTTACAGGGAACCAGGCAGAGGGCCTTCTCGGTAGTGGCAACTGTCCTGTGGAACACCCTCCCACGAGATGTCAAAGAAATAAACAGCTATCTGACTTTTAGAAGACATCTGAAGGCAGCCCTGTTTAGGAAAGCTTTTAATATTTGATGAATTACTGTATTTTAATATTTTGCTGGAAGCTGCCCAGAGTGGCTGGGGAAACCCAGCCAGATGGGCGGGGTGTAAATAATAATAATAATAATAATAATAATAATAATAATAATAATTTATTATTATTATTATTATTATTATTATTATTATTATTATTATTACAGTGCTGGGTTTATTATTTGGCTGCTTTCAAGCCAACGTACCAACGTACCGCACTGTGATACAATATGAGAGGACACTTTCTATTATGGACCGGTAGAAAGAGGTCATCAATTGTGGTTTAACATTATTGGTCTTTCGCAAAACCCTGAGGAAATGGAGTCTCTGTTGGGCCTTCCTAACCACCTGAGTTATATTGTTTTTCCAAGTGAGGTCTTCACTAAGGTAAACTCCCAGGAATTTAAAGGAAGAGACTTTCTCCACACAGCCTGTTAGTTTCTGTTTGCCACTGAGCAGCTGCTTGGAATCACAGGACTCTGTTTACATTCCAGAGACCTTCCAGACTGTTGGAAGTCTCACGGGAGGGGAGAAGGGATGTGACGTTAGTGGTTTCCTGTTCCTTTGTTCAGTTGCTCTCTGCTTTAATAGAGAGAGGATGTATATTTCTTTGCTGTCTGCGTAGTGAGAAATAAAGCATAGCATGTAGCCATAAATCTCATCACTTCCCTGTGCTGGAAACTCTGCTGGATGGAAATGTGCCTGAGGCCTTATCAGAGGCTCAGGTCGTTAATTATTCATCGGGAGGGCGATTACGAAGGCTCAGCCGGAAAATGAGCTTTATCAGCTTGGCTGAGTGAAGATTCCGACACAGCCTCCCCCCTCCCGATATACAACGGGGCTAGTTCTCCTCTCTTCCTCCGAAAGTCCAACACCATCTCCTTTGTCTTGCTAATATTTAGGTGCAAGTTATTCTCTAGGCACCATGTAGATGCTTTTTGAACCTCCCCACTGTATGCTGATTCATCTCCACCTGTAATTAGACCCATTATGGTAGTATCATCTGCAAACTTAATAATTACAGTGGATGGATCAGATGAAATACAATCATATGTATACGACGAGTACACACATCCCTGTGGAGTGCCAGTGCTGAACCTCAGGGAGGTAGATGTAACACACTGACTGCTTGCAATAAACTTTCCTTTTACATCTCCTGGTGTGTGCCGTGTGGTTTCGGGGTGTTTGTTTGTTTTCAAATGTGCTGTTGATGGGCGGTGCAAGTGCATGTTTGGGGTGCCTGCAGCAGCTGTCACGAGCTTCATGTGCACTTGTTTACTGGGTCATGCTGCGTTGCAGAGTTGGCGCATGCAGCTGTGTTATGGGGCGTGCCTATGGTGGGCTGGTGGGTGGCAACTGGTTGACGGTGCTGTGGTTGCTATGGACACCATGTATGCCCGTTCTCTGTCCCCATGGGATGTGCGTGAGCGCTCTTGAAGTGGCAATGCCAAGATCCTTGGGAGTGATCCCATTTGTAGAGCCATGGGACAGCTCCTTCTAAACAGCTGCTCTCTGGTTTTAGGGTTTCTTCCCCCTTCGCTGGCAGGGGCTTGGGATGGAGGTCACTTAATTGTGCTGGGAGTGTTTCTGCTGACTTCCTGTCATGAGGATTGATCCATTTGGGTGTATCTCTTTATAAACATTTATTTTTCACTCATCTGCTTCTGTCATCCGCTCAGCCCCCACCATGCTTCTCTGTAGGGGAAACGTGTGGCGCCGTGGTCTAAACCACTGAGCCTCTTGGGCTTGCCGATCAGAAGGTTGGTGGTTCGAATCCCCGCAATGGGCTGAGCTCTTGTGCTCAAATTCTGCTTGCGGGTTTCTCATGGGCATCTAGTTGGCCTCTGTGAGAACTGGATGCTGGACTAAGATGGGTTGTTGACATGATGCAGCAACCTCTTCCTGTGTTCTTATTGTGTATTGGTCAGAGTTTATGAACCGACTTCCCTTGGACACTTGTCAGCCTCGTAACCCTTGCCTTATGTGTGAAAGTGAGGTCCTTATTTTCCTCCTGCGGGTGAAAGGATGTGACCACACATAACCAGAAGCTGAAATCTGATTTCAATATTTATTTGCGATGACAATAGCAGAAGATCAGTTCATGCATTTCACTTTAAGAAAAATGGAAGCCTAATATTCTCAAAGGAAACGAAGGTTATACATAAGTGAATGTCGAGGAAGGGAGAATATAAGGAACAAGGCATGCAAGGAAAAATCAGGGTACAATATGGGGAACAAAAAAGAATGCGGATTACAACTTAAGGTTTAAACTTAAAGCAGAAGGGGGGAAATCAAAGCATTAGATAAAATAACAATAGCACAAACAAGTGGTCTCACTTACAAAACTAGCAATAATTGTAATGGTTATCTAACTCTTTGATTTAACACCTAGAACGCTCCAACAGTCCAAACTAGTTAAAAGCTTTATTGTGTTACAGTTACAGGGCAATGAATTCTTAACAGGAAGGAAAGAGTAAAGAGATTTCTCTCTAATCACAGAGATTCAGAGGACCAGAGTTCTGCAAGCGCAGAGGAGAGTTTTATTCAGAATCCAACGGATAGCAGCCTAAAAGGTCATAGTAGAATTGGCTCCAACGCCATCTCTGAACATCCTGACTGAGTATAGGATCAAATCAGTGGCGTGCAGTGATATTTTTTATAGGGGAACAGTTCGGGCCAGAGGTGCCAGTTTGCGAGAGCGATGGGGGGACGTGACGTTTTGTGTGTGTGACATCCTGACATCGCAAGTGTAAGCTTTGCGCCTCTCTCCCTAAGCTGAGCAGAAGCCTCCCGTGCTTTGGGAAGGAGGTGCCAATGCTCCAATTTACCAGGAACATTGAGGGGACTAGTCTAGTCTCCATAGTCCACTGACCACACACCACTGTATGAAATACCCAAACAAGTCAGTTAAGGACTGACCAATGACCACTGTGCTCCTAGAACTCAGGGAGACACTTGCTATGCCAGAAGTAGAAAGGCAAATATTATCAATGCCATGGGGTTGTGTTTAATTAGTTCCTACTCAGAGTGGCTAGGCTAGGTCCATTAGCTTCAGTAGGTGAGTAAAGCATAGTGGAACCTAAGTTAGCCGTGTTCATTAACCTCAGTGTGCTACCACTGGGCACCTCCCACGTTCCACAATTTGTTCAGAGTATATGTGGTGTACCCTTCAGCGGACAATTCTGCAAAACAGCCACACAAGCAACTGGCAACCCAAAGTGTTGGTCGTGAGTGAAGTCGGGTGTGAGATTAGTGCAGCAGGGCCTGCGAGAGCTGAGCTTCTGTCTTTCCAGCAAAGCACAATGTATACAGCACCGCTTGGCCAGTGACTATCACCTCACGAAGGAACACCCCATTCCCTCTAAGAGAATTATGCACTTACTTTTTTTTGCGGGGGAGGTGTTCTTTTTTGAACAATAGACAATGACAGACGGTGTAAACGAGTGAACACAAACGAGCGCTCCTCTGCTCTGGAGCAGGAAGAAGGAGCAAAGTTGTGAACAGAGTAAGAATTGATTCACAGCAGTTGATAGGCTGCCATTCTGATGCTGGGAACCACGCACTGCGAAGTGCTGTCACCTGTGCTCATGAAGTCTCGTCATGTGTTTAGGACTCTGAAAAATCATTGCTTTAAAATGTGTGGGGCTCCTCCATGAATACAGAAGGCTGTACACACCACAGTCAGGCTCCAGTTTGTAGAGGGAGATGATGGTGATGGGGGAAAATTCAGTTGGTTTGCCCCACCCCCCAAAAAAAGTCCCTGTTTACAGGGACAAACGTCTGTTTGTCACTTGCATCGCAATGGCTTCTGCTGTGGGGAAGGGAAATGAGTTATTATCTTAATGTTATATGTGCCTTAGACAGAGGTGCCAACTTGAATAAAATGTTGGGGGAGGGACAGGTAAGCCCAGTCCCACATAATCAACCACATGACGCAGCACACACACACATATAAATGACAATGCCCATCAACATTTGGGGGGGACTTCAAATATTTTAATTGGGGGCAGGGGCTGAAGGGCCCTTGGTCCCTTGGAGTTGGCTCCTATGGCCTTAGATTAAGTTTTAAAACAGACGTCGGTGTCACAGCAAAGGTAGTCCACTCTTGTGCGCTTATAAACATACTTTTGTCCGCACCTCAAACCCGGGCCGTTGTAATGACAGGACAAGTGGTGGCTTAACTTTTTCCCAGTTTTGACTAGAAATTGAAAAAAAGAGTGTTCATGTTAACTGATGAACGAACGAATACAATTCTATCGAATTAGTTCAAAGAGAATACGGTGGTACCTCAGGTTACAGACGCTTCAGGTTATAGAATTTTGCTTCAGGGTGAGAACAAAAATCGTGCGGCGGCAGCGCAACGGCAGCGGGAGGCCCCATTAGCTAAAGTGGTACCTCAGGTTAAGAACAGTTTCAGGTTAAGAACGGACCTCCAGAACAAATTAAGTTCTTAACCCGAGGTTCCACTGTATACCAATAAGGGCATCAGAAGTGCCACATAAAAGGAAGGCGTCTTTTAAAAACTCCCCATTAAAATAGGGCTAAAACAGAATTTTATTTTATTTTTTACCATTTTGCAAAAACTACTAAAATTTAATCATTACCATAAAATGTGTTAGAAGGCAGGAGAGATATATCACAATACATTTATGTCCTGAAAACTCCAAATCCCCACCCTCGGTTCTCTACAAATGATTCCAAATAACTTTTTCCTAAGACGGGAAGTCTTTACTATGACATACTTACTTGTTCCTTGTAACAGAAACCTTACTTTTTCCTACCACACTCCAGGGTTTCCATGCACTTAAGCAAGTGTTCTAATTTAATGTTAGAACAGAACTGACATTCAAGAACATAATGAAGCAAAACTTCTAGTACTGTTTCTACACAATTGCATAGTCCATCTTAGACTAATAGGCCTTGGAATCCCCACAGCAGCAGGCTTGAGTCCATCTATTCAAAGTAGGGTTGGGTAAAATATTTCTGATATTCTGTTTTTCAGTGAGAAATGGCAGGTGTTTTTCATACTGCTGCTGGCAGTCTGCACTTGCCAGCCAGTGAACAATTACATGACCAAGTGTACTGAGAGCCTGAGGTAAAAATTCAACCTGCTATGCTTAATTATTATTAAGGAAAGGGGATCTATCTTTCATTTACTGAATATTCATCTTGATTTGCTTGTACAAAATCTCCAGGTGGTCCAATTATATCTGGTCTTTATTTCTTTCAGTGTCTTCTTCTTCTTCTTATTATTATTATTAGTTTTACTCTGGGTGGATCTACACAGGAAAAAACCCCACTATATATAAGTCAGAAATTAAATCGCTATAACAAAAGGGGGAGAAACGCTGTGTAAAATCACAAAGAAAGTTTTTTTGCTCTCCAGTGTTGCGTGTTTATAACGCATTCAACACATTGTTTTTTTTTACTAATGTGGCTGAGTCCTCAAATTGGACTCATTGAAATGAATTATCTATTAAATTTAATCTGTCTCCTCTGAGTAAAACTCAGTTGAATGAGTATACAATAATAAAGAAAACACATTATTATGATCTCAGCTATATAAGGTGTTAGGTTTTCTTGAACTTTATGTTGCTTTTCATTTGGTTAATAGCTGTACACAACTCTCCCAGATTTGGAGATACTGCAAGCTCATCTCTAACTTGTTTTTGCAGAATTTGTGAGAGGACTTCAGCAGCTACAGGGCAGATGCTGTTAAGGAGATGCTGGTAATGTTCTTTCCAGTGCAATGCAATAGCTTCTTTATCTTTTAGAAGTGTGGTACTGTCTGCTGAGCGTAGTGGGCATATGTCATGATTTATTGGCCCATAGATGGTCTTTGTGGCTTTAAAGAAACTCTGTGCATCATGAGTGTCAGCTAAGTGCTGGATCGCTTGAGTTTTTTTAATCCACCAGGTGTTCTTTAGTTCTTTGCTTCTTCTTTGAACCTCAGCCTTAGCGTTGGCATAGGCTTTTTTTTTTCTTAATGGCTCAGTTTCTATCTCTTTGCCAGATCTGAAAGACCTTCCTTTTCTTGTCAATCATGTGTTCAATCTCACTGTCATTCTCATCAAACCAGTCCTGGTGTTTCTTGGTTTGGTATCCAATAGTTTGTTCACAAGCTGCAATAATGGATGTTTTTTGCTTGTTCTAGTGTTCCTCAATGTTATCAGGGAACTCTGAAAGCAGATGGTCCTTAAGAGTCATGTGGAAGCAATCCCACTTAATAGGATCTTGAAGGGCTTGAGTGTTCATCTTGCACCTCGGTTTCCTTCTTTGAAGCCTGTGTTGAGGTGTAAACTTGATAGCCATCGTGGAGCGTATTAATCAGTGATCTGTCCATTTTCAAATATCTGTCTGTTTGCTAGCTGCTTTGGTTGTATGGAAGCAGGAAACATTGTAGAACCTTTGTGGCCCACTTGCTGCTGCTTCCCTTTCTTCCAAGAGGCACTGAATCTGTCAAGGACTGAATCATTTCCAAAACTAGTGGATCCATGTGAGCATGGAGACAATGGTGTTCCTGGGAAGGAGGGGAAACGGCGGCCAGAGCTCTGCTCTTGGTGCTATGCTGCAGGATGCTTATGAGAAGGAAACTTTTTTGTTGTTTTTTGTTTTTAAAATGTGTACTTTGGCATATAGGTAAAGGTAAAGGGACCCCTGACCATTAGGTCAGTCGTGACCAATTCTGGGGTTGCGGCGCTCATCTCGCTTTATTGGCCGAGGGAGCCGGCATACAGCTTCCGGGTCATGTGGCCAGCATGACTAAGCCGCTTCTGGCAAACCAGAGCAGTGCACGGAAACGCCGTTTACCTTCCCGCCAGAGCGGTACCTATCTATCTACTTGCACTTTGACATGCTTTCAAACTGCTAGGTTGGCAGGAGCAGGGACCAAGCAACGGGAGCTCACCATGTCGCGGGGATTCGAACCATCGACCTTCTGATCGGCAAGTCCTAGGCTCTGTGGTTTAACCCACAGCGCCACCCGCATCCCTACTTTGGCATATACTTTGGTCCAAAGGTGGAAAAACTCCAGCCATGTAAATGTGGTACATGGGGCTTTGTTAAACACATTGAGGCCCAGAACCTGGAGCACAACTAAAGTGAAGACTACCCAGGGTGGCTGGGGAAACCAAGCCAGATGGGTGGGGTATAAATAATAAATTACTATTATTATTATTATTACTACTACTACTACTACTATTACAAAGAGCAAGTTAGAATTATTTAAGATGTTCGGATACAGATACGAGGTGCATCTTGAAGCCTGTGCACATTCCTAATGTGTAACTCCTCAGATGCAAAATTGGACAACAGTTTTGCATCTGAGAGCACTTTGCAAGTCCATTACTGTTATGCTTTTCATAGTGTGTGCACATGTACGTGTATGTGGCGACTGTGGGAACAGAATGCTGAGCCAGCTGGACTTTGGGGATGATCCAGCAGAGCTGCCTTTGTGTTCTCACAAACCCCTGTGTCCTCCTTGACATTAGGTCAGCCTAGTCAAACCTACGAGAGGGAACCTGGGAAAAGAGGGGGAGTGGGGAAAATAGGCTCCTTACCATCATATACAATTTTCTTTGAGCACTTAACTCCAGGACATCTGCGGTATAGAGGCCAACATGAACTCACTTCGTGCCATCCATCGCACACTCTGCATTCTACGGCATCCGCTGTAAGAGGCAGGCATTTTTTTCATAAAATCAAAGAACTATAGAGTTGGAAGGGACCCAGAGGGTCATCTAGTCCAACCCCCCCCCCCTGCAATGCAGGACTGTCAACTAAAGATTATTGTTCATCCCTGCAAAGGTCGCCCTTTCTTTAAAAGTCACTAAATCAGGTGCTTTGCTGTGGGGAGGGGAACAGGGTCCTGAAACCCTCTATCTTTTGCACAAGCCCATTGTTTTCTAGCATTTCCTGCTCTAAAAATAAAATAAAAAATACGCTTTTCCTAATGGGGAAGGCTGAGCCTTCCGCAAGGCAAAGTGCCACTCAGAGCTCAGCTACTCGCCATCTTAATATGTGGATGGACCAATCAACTTACATTATCCTGAACCTCAAAAATCCTGTTGGCACTCTATAGCTCAGGATAGACACTGGAAGCAGCAGCAAGATCTACCCCCCTTCAAAACTTGTCTCTGTGTGTATAGATTAGGATATGGAAATTGTATTCAAACTTGTGGCAAAGTTCTGTCTTTGCTGCACATAAAAAGGTAAAGGGATCCCTGACCATTAGGTCCAGTCGTGACCGACTCTGGGGTTGCGGCGCTCATCTCGCTTTATTGGCCGAGAGAGGCGGCGTACAGCTTCCAGGTCATGTGGCCAGCATGACTAAGCCGCTTCTGGCGAACCAGAGCAGTGCACGGAAACGCCGTTTACCTTCCCGCCAGAGCGGTACCTATTTATCTACTTGCACTTTGACGTGCTTTCAAACTGCTAGGTTGGCAGGAGCAGGGACCAAGCAACGGGACCTCACCCCATCGCGGGGATTTGAACTGCCGACCTTCTGATCGGCAAGTCTTAGGCTCTGTGGTTTAACCCACAGCGCCACCCACGTCCCCTTGCTGCACATAGCAACGTCCTTAAGGAAACCAGTTGTATCCTCTTTTTAAAAGCTGGTGGGGTCCCATGTACTAAGTCAGGGCATTGTTTGGGCGCTCAGCTCCCTCTCAACTCCACTCATATATTTATCTCCTGTGCACACTTTCCCCTAATATGCACATTTTTAAACACACTGGTTAGCTGGAGGAGAGCATCACAAAATTGGGAGAAGTGCACATTTTGGAGGATAACTGTGTTTCAATTTGCATCTTGCTGCAGAAGAGTCACATACCGTATTGGCCTGAATATAAGCCACATTTCCCTCCCCCCGCCCCCAATTCCAACTGTGAAAAGTTAAAGTGTGGCTTATATTCACGACCTTACAGTATGCAGCCAGGAGTGCTGGGCAAACAGCTCCAGGAGAGCGGCAAAGCAGTGCTTGCCCCATGCGTAGTCCCCCGTCCTCTCCCCCAAGGCTGGGAAGGAAGAGAGCTCAGTACACAGCCAGGGGCAGCGAGGAATGGAGCAGCTTATATTCGGGTATTTTTTATTTTTTTCCTTTCCCTTCTCTAATTTTAAAGGTGCAGCTTATATTCGGGCCAATACGGTAAGTAGGTTCCCGTCCAAATCTGAAGTGAATCCAATTTCTCCCTCATTCCAAAGTACCAATACTAATTTTACTACTTCTACTTTTAAAAAATAAATAGCTGTATTTTATGCGAGTTCGCAGAGGATACATGGCAAAGCTCCGAAAGCAGTCTGAGGATTTCTCTATTTTCGGATAAATTTGGTTTCACCTCTTCAAGGGGCAGGACTTACCTTCATGGTTAAGGGAGAGCAAAAGAAAGAATGCAAGGAGGCAGACCTGAGCCAAGCACAAGCCCCGATGGTCAAGAAAGAAGCTCTTCCCCATAGGGAGGCCTTTTAGTATGGAGAGGCTGGCTTGAAGGCTGACAGCTGAGAGACCTCAGGCTTGCAGAGCAGTTGTTCCTGAACCTCTGGTCAGCGGCACATGGCTCAGCGTGAAGAGCCAGGTTCAAGGCATCCAATATATAAGGCCGGGAAAGATCTTCTTGACTTCTTCCCTCATTCTGGTGGGCTTCAAAGATACAATAAGCCTCTGGCATTATGCAGGGGTGGTTCTGAAGAGCAGAAGAGGTGTGTGGGTAGTGGTAACCTTGAGCTGTTTGGGGCACAGTGTACTGATGGTTCGGAAAAATCATAATTGGCTGAGGGATCAAACAGAACACCGGAGAGAATGGCCCAGGTCTCTGTGGGCACCTGATGCTATCTTACATGGAAGGCATGCTTGTTCCTTTCTTTCTTTCTTTCTTTCTTTCTTTCTTTCTTTCTTTCTTTCTTTCTGTGTTTCTTATAATTTTCATTTATGACAAACATTTCAAACAGAATCATCATTACTTATACAGTCAAGCCTTGGTTCCCAAGCGGCTTAGTTGACTAATAAACGCCGAAGTGTTCCAGTTTTCGAACGTTTTTTGGAAGCTGAACATTCGACGCGGCTACTGCTTGAGTGCAGGAAGCTCCTGCAGCCAATCGGAAGCTGCGCCTTGGTTTTTGAACAGTTTCAGGAGTTGAATGGACTTCTGGAGATGATTAAGTTCAAGAACCAAGGTTCCACTGTATTTACTCTATTTCCCTGCATATCCCAATTTAAATCTATTTTATATTTTATTTCCATCCATTTCATATATGTTTTCAATGGCCGCATCATTTCGTGTGTGTGATTTTAGGCAGCACTCCTATACACCAGAAGCTGCTGGCATAAAGCAAAAGTAGAATAAATTAAGTCACGCCATGCTTTGCTGGGTTCACCCCTTGCCCACCTCCCTCCCTCCAACTGTGCCACTCACAGTGAGCCAGAGCTCAAACCATTTATAGAGGCTTCCTTCTAACATGGTTTAAGAAGCTTTTGTGTATTTTGACCTTCTCATAGCCTAAATAGGCATGCCAGCCATCACGGTTGTCATGCCCATCCAGATCTAAAATGTCTGTATTTTGTAGTATACATCATTCCATGATCCAGGATAGACAGGCCGCCTCGTAGTAGAGTTTCAAGGCGGGGATCCCTGTGGAATCCAGTGCTGGGGGGGGCTGGTTGCACCCATCAGAATTTTGCACCCGGAGCCATGAACCCCCTAGCCTACACCACTGATTCCATGTAAATATGGCTTCCCTGCCTCAAAAGCCATGAGGAGAGAGAGAGAGAGTATGCTAACAACCTGATAGGCCAAAGTGTGTAGCTCAATTATGAATGTAGCTATATTTTACAGTCAGCATGGAAGACACCAGAAACCTTGTACAGTGGAACCTTGGTTTTTGAACGCCTCCATAGTCAAATGTTTCAGCTCCCAAAAACCAAAAACTTGGAAGTAACTGCTCTGGTTTTCAAACGGTTTTTGGAAGCCAAACATGCCACATGGCTTCCGTTTTGAGTTGCCCTATTGTATTGAGGCTTCTGCTTTCAGTTTTCGGACATTTCAGAAGTCGGTCAGTCAGTCTTCTGGAACGGACTACGTTTGAAAACCAAGGTTCCAATGTACTAGAGAAGCACATGGTGGAACTCAGGTTCCTTCCTCCTCACATGACTGGGGAAGTCTGCAGGTTATGGGGACTTGCTGGCCAGATCCTTTACAGCAGCAGCAGTAGCCCTGCAGACGGTGGGAGGCTTTCAAGTCCACCCCCAGAGCTTTCATGTCCAGCAGGATTAGATAATCCGAGGAGCCAAAATGGTCCCATCTGACCTTATATAGCCATTATTGGTCAGACTGTTCCATACTCTGAATAACTTCTTGCTGGGGGAAGCTGTTACATGCTTCCCAAGAGCCCTGTCTGATCCCTCCAGAAGGGCCGGAGAAGACGTCAACTTCACTCTCTTTGTTCCAGAAAGCCATCCCATGGGGTGCAGATCTTGGGGACCATGGGTGGCTCTGACTTGGCTTTTGGCAGCCTGTGTTTTCTTCGGGCTCAGCCCAGGAGGTAAGTCCCACCTGCAAGAGGAAGATTCCCATGTATTTTAACTTTATACTTTATATACTTTAACAGTGACAAATCCCAATCTGCTTTTTTGAACTGGAAACGAAGGAGGGGTGTGTAAGGTCATATTCTAAATAATAACTAACTTGGAGAGAAGACTGTACGCAGTGCGCACATATGTTTATTTTATCGATTAGTTAAATGATCTACATCTTCCTTGGAAGGACGTGGGAGGTCATATTCTAAATGATAATTATAGTAACTTAGAGAAAATGTGTGCAGCGCACGCATATGTTTATTTTATTGATTATTTACACTTTTAAACTTCTCTTCCTTCCAAGGGAGCCAAGGCCGATGTACCGTTTTTATTTTACTATGAAGGCACAAGATGCATATCATAAATGAAAGATAACAACAGTGACCACATTATACAATATATGTGAAACTCACTCTCACAAATACCTGGGGGAGGGAGGTAAAGGACCCCTTGACGGTTAAGTGCAGTCAAAGGCGATTATGGGGTTGCAGTGCTCATCTCACTTTCAGGCCGAGGGAACCAGCGTTTGTCCACAGACAGCTTTCTGGGTCGTGTGGCCAGCAGGACTAAACCGCTTCTGGCGCAATGGGACACCTTGACAAATACCAGAGCTCACTGAAATGTCATTTAGAAATACCTGCACCCTAACCTCAGTTAGTAAAAGATAGGTCTGGGAAAGGCTGTGAAGAGTCAGTCAGTGAAGACAAAACTGAGCTGGTTGTATCAATGGTCTTAGAATAAATAGTAGATGCTTTGTTGTTTAGTCGTTTAGTCGTGTCCGACTCTTCGTGACCCCATGGACCAGAGCACGCCAGGCACTCCTGTCTTCAGTGGCATAAAAGATACCCATTTCTCCCCCTCCCCTGCCCACCATTGTCCAGAGATCCAGAGATCACGTATTTGCCTACATCCATTATTTACTTCTTTTCCAGAGCCTGTTGCTTCCATTTTAATCACTGGCAATCATTTTTTTCAGCATCTTTGTCATCACCAGCAGGACCCAGGGCAGGTTACAAGATTTTGAAATTAAAATAGTCAAAGATATCCCAATCACAGGGATAGAGTGTGCAGTGATGCTCCCACTGTGCTTCTCTCAGATTTTGATCTGCTCTATTTGTCCGCCATTAGGGATCCTTTGGGAACTGACACACACACCCCAGGCACAATTCTGCATTGTAGGGGGTTGGACTAGATTACCCCTTTCAGCTCTAAAGTTCTTTGATCCTGGTGACTCCCAGCCGCAATGCCTTTCCAAGTACAACGGATTCCACCATTAATTTTAGCACAATGGGTTTAAATTTTAAAGAGACAGTTTCCCACAGTGAACGTTCCACTCAAGCCCGTGTATGTCTGCAAGGAGAGTCAACATTCTCTCTTTCATAGCACATGGAATAACCTGCCGACGATGCAGAATCGAGGAGCCAGGGTCGCGGTGCTTTCCAGCAACAACATACTGTAGAGTTGATCATGGGGGGTGCTTAGCCGAGAGACAGTATAAAGGTAAGGAGACATTGCAGAGTGTTTCTTTCCCATTCGTGTGCGTGTTTGTATACCAGGGCTGCCATACATCTGGATTTTCCTGGACATTGCTGGAATTTCAAAGGCGGAATTGACGTCCGAGGAGAATTTCTGCTTTGTCCTGGATCTTAGGCAAGGCAAACGGAAAAATCGAGTTTTTTGAGCTCAATGACTTTGGGGTTTCAGGTTTTCCTTAAAAAAAAGAAAGGCTGGACAATCTTGGTGGTTTCCTTAAAAAGAAAGCTTGTGGTGTCCCAGTTTTTACTTTTTGAAAAAGTATACTCTAGCGTATACTTGATGACACATACCTGTCCCTGTCCACCACAGGCAATCGTGTACAAAGAGTCTGAGGCCTTGTCTGAAAATGGTTCATGTAGCTGTAAACAACACTGCAGAATGCATCAGTTCTCTAAAAGGTTGAACATTGTGGGTTCTGTTCAAGCAGAGCCGGCCCCGCCATGAGCCGAGCTGAGGCAACTGCCTCAAGCAGTGGGAGCTAGCAGGATCCAGGGGTGGCAAATCCTACCGCTATGGTGTGTTTACCTGCTGCTGAGGTAAATAGCCCAGGCCGGGTGATCTTACAGGGTCAGGGGGAGGCTGACAGCAGTGACCACACACTCAACCACCCTACTTCACCCATTAGAAACTCACTTAACTCACATAATCAAATACAAAAGACACACACAAAAACAAGCAAACAGGAAACCAGTAGGGAAAGGTGCATTGAAACAAAACCAATAATAATAGTAGTAATGACCAGGAAAGAGGACACCACAGAATGAAAGAGAGAGGGAGGGAGAGAGGAAAATAAAAGGTAGGGAAGAGGAAGAATGGAAAAATGCAAAGGAAAGAAAAAGAGAGTGGAGAAGTGTGTGTGTGTGTGTGTGTGTGTGTGTGTGTAGCAGTTGAAAGTCAGTTGCGCAAGGGATGTTATCTCCAATCCTTTCAATTCAATACCTTTTTTAAAGTTCACTGAAGAAAATGTGGCATCAAGGTGATTGGTTGCTCGATTATTATTATTATTATTATTATTATTATTGAGTTTGTATACCACTCTTCGTCTGAAGGTCACAGGGTGGTTCACACTTAACAAACTACAACTTAGCAAACTACTTGAGTGGCAGTGTAGCAGGCCATGCGAGTAAAGATGACAGCTGGGCTCATCCCACTATTTCGAAATCCATATTGAGACTCCAGAAAAAAACCCTGGGCTCAACTGACCCTTATGCTCCGCAAATGGTGTTATAAAGAAGGCTGGTTCTGCTGTATTCTGTCACACCTTCCAAACATTCTGTCACACTCTGGTGTGGCAAACTAGCAAGATTCAAAACAGAACGGCAAAGTATGTATCAGCGGATCTGATTATCCATTGTTGAAATTGCTGGGTGGTCCAACCCAAATGCACTATACACACAAAAATGAGATGGTTCTTACACCAGGTGATCTTGACAGTAGCACAGGTATTAGGAAATACCTAATAAGTAACACAAAGATGCCCTCTTCTCTCCACAATCCCAGATGGCAAGCTGCTGAAAAGAATCAAGGACTGTTATATAAATGGTACCAGATGTGAAACCAGTTGGACAACTCAAGAAGATGAAATTGAACACGAGGTACGCTGCTGTACTGACAGAGACTATTGCAACAAAACACTGTAGAGTGTGGGTGATGACAAACAGTTAAGGCTGAAATCCTACCAACACCTCTTGTGGAACTCAGTAGAATTTCCTTCTGATTAAACATGCATATGATTGCGCTAGATGAAAAATTGCATCCCTACTTCTAATGTGTATCGGCTAGATTTGAAATTTCTTTCTAATAAAAAATAGATAGATAATAGAATATAATTGACAAATCACAGAGCATATTATTGAAAACATTTATCTGTACAAATGGTCAGAATCTTAATAATTATTTCAGATTGTAAAAAGACCCTGATGATTGTGTTGTAGCACCACCTAGAAATCCAGTGATGAACTAAGTAAACATGATTTTAAATGCTGGCTGCTGTCTTTGCAAATACACTCAGCTTCAGTGACTCCTTAATTCCCATTGTGCACCATGTTCAGAGTGGTGAAAAGTTGAGGCCCTTCCTCATTTCATCGGAGGCATGAGTTCCTAATCAGCTTTCATGAATCTGAATGAATTTCCCATGGGTGCCTGTTCCTGCACAAACATTACCAGAGGGCCTGGGACTGTAGCCTTGTGTGTATCTGAGCCTTTCTTCATATACAGTATTCCATTGCCATTGTCTATGCATATTTTTTGAACGCACCCATAGATACAGCACCGCAGTTTGCGCCACCTCACGGTATCCTTAACGCAGGGGTAGGCAACCTAAGGCCCATGGGCCGGATGAGGCCCAATCGCCTTTTCTATCTGGCCCACGGACGGTCTGAGAATCAGCGTGTTTTTACATGAGTAGAATGTCCTTTTATTTAAAATGCATCTCTGGGTTATTTGTGGGGCACAGGAATTTGTTCATTTCCCCCCCCCCAAAAAAAAAATAGTCCGGCCCACCACATGGTCTGAGGGACGGTAGACTGGCCCACAGCTGAAAAAGGTTGCTGACCCCTGCCCTAGCAGCTACACAAACACTTCCCTTGGGCGCTTAGAAAAACAAAAACAAACTGCAGCAGCCACTACCATCACCATCTAGCAGCTGCCACCATATTTTTCCTCCACAACGTACCTTTTTCCTGGAGGTGAAAATGAGGATTTGAAAGCTGGCTTATGCAGAGTTTGATTATTGTTCTGCCTTCACATGTACACTGGCAGGCAGCAGTTCTTCTAGTGGACACTGCAAAGTGCAATGCATAGCCAGCCCACAAACCTTGCTCTTGATTTAGTATCATAGAATTGTAGAGGTGGAAGGGACCCTGGGGGGCGGGGAGTCATAGTGCCCAACACCCTGCAGTGCAGGAATGTCAACTGAAGCATCCATGATGGCCATCGAACCTCTGCTTCTAAACCTCCAAGGAGGAGAGTCCCCAAGCTTCCAAGGGAGACTGCTCCACTCTCCAAGTGCTTTTGTTGTCAGGAAGTTCTGCTGGTGCTTAGCTGGAATCTCCTTTACCTAAAGCCATTGGTTCAAGTTCTATCCTCCGGGGCAGGAGGAAACAAGCTGGCTCCATCGTCCATTTGACATTGTCTGTAGTCTCTCTAGCCGGGGAGCAGGCTGCTTCAGAGAGTACATCCATGTCACAGTATATTAGCAAAGGTTAATAACTAGGGCTGCACACCAGATTCAGCTGAGGCCCAAAGCCTGAGAAAGATCAGGTCTATTCAGTGGGATCCAGGCCTTGGACGAAACTTGGGAAGGAACAGCAATATGCAGGATCCTGCCTTCCCAGCTGGTGAATCGGGGGATCAAATGCTGTGCAGTGCCGGTCCACCCACTTAAACAGTATGTTTAAATAGGGTTCTAAATGTTAGAATTCCTCCTCCGTGATTGCAGTCATTGGATTTTTGTCTATCACATGACGGTGTATGTTTTGACTCCACAGAGTGGGAAGTGATGGAGACAGGATATTTGTGTTACTGTGTTCCGTGAAGGGGGACTATTATCCTTTGTTTTTTCTCTTTGCTGTTTGACGCTAGAGAGAGAGGGAGCCATGTTGCAGTGCTCTGCGTGTGTTTATATGTAAATAAAGTAGATTAGCCAAAATGCTGAGTTGCTGAGGTCTGTTACGCAAGCTTCGAAGACTCTGCGATCCCTAAGTGTGCCGATGTCTGTTGGCATCGGTCTCTGTGATGTTAGGGCAGAAGTAAGCTTATGAAGCTCCTGAATGAAAGACCAGGAGGGAGAGAACATGCCAGTCGGGCATGTGTCTCTGCCAGGGTCCTAGTCGAGTGTAGGACGACCTCCTGACACTAAAACCACACCAGAAACACTTAGATCTGCCCCTGAACTGCTGGAGACATAGTTCCAGGTAGCACCAGGGCAGCACAGGGTGAACTGGCCCAACCCAAGGGCCACAGTTTGAGGGGTGGGGGTCACAGGGCAAATCACAAACTATTCAACTGTCCCAATTAAATCAGGACATCCTGTTTTGCAGTGCCATGCTCTCATGTGACAGCATGACACTCGGAAATGTGCATTTTTTGGTTCCGTGCTCTCCTGAAGGTCATATGTCTTGCACAGGAGCACAGTCCAGAAGAGGTACATTCAGGTTTTCTGCTGGGACATGTTGGAGGGTTGGAGGGTATGAGATTGTGGGGTCTTAGTACAGTCCTATTGGTAAAATTAAAAGAGCCCTGGTGGGTCAGATAAAAGGCTTCCTAGTTTAGCATTTTGTACTCACACTGGCCAGCCTGATGCCTTTGGGGATCCCTGAAGTGGGACACGTGCTCAACAGCACAAGACTTAGGTCATTACCAGCCTGGAGGAAGAACTTCCTTATCCCAAGGTAGGATTAAGTGGGCAGAAGGAGATGTACTTTGTTCCTTTTGATATAGCAGATATACCCTTTGCCTTTTAATGTTTTGTGCCTGGAGCAGAACGATATGGACAAGGGTCAAGACACTGTTCTTGGAGCTTATGCTAGGACAACATTCCATTTCAGCTTTTGGCACATCCGTTGCTGATTGACATGAACTATTAAATTAATTCAATACAGTACTTCTCCGTGTATAATACGAGGGTTTTTTGCTCAAAAAGAATGTTAAAAATCGGGGGTCATCTTATACATGGATAGTGCAGAGGGGGGACGGGTGATTTGTTTCAGCCGCAAGCAGCAGCTTTTCGCTGGTGATTGGGTGGGTGATTGGTGTATGCAGCAAGGGCTGCTTAGGATGGGCTGTTGCTACGGCAATTGGGTGGGTGATTGGTGTATGCAGCAAGGGCTGTTTTTCATTGGCTTCTGCTGCAACAATTGGCTTCTGCTGCGACAAATGGGTAGAGGAGTCTTATAGAGCCACTACCTGTGTGTTCCTTACTTTGCCTAGCCTCTTGCTGGGTGCAACTTGTGCTCTGAGAGGAGCCCTGCCTGAACTGTCCCCCCCACCCGGAAGGGCCAGAGAAGAAGTCAACTTCACTCTCTTTGTTCCAGAAAGCCATCCCATGGGGTACAGCATCCATTTTTTTTTCTTGTTTTCCTCCTCCAAAAACTAGGTGCATCTTGTGGTCTGGTGTGTCTTATAGAGCGAAAAATACGGTAACCTCAGTTAGTAAAAGATAGGTCTGTGAAAGGCTGTGAAGAATAAGTGTAGACAAAACTGAGCCAGTTGTATCAATGGTCTTAGATGACCCACGAGGATCCCTTCTTCTTCTTTTTTTAAATGATATTTATTGGAAAATTTTAAAATTACAAAAAAGACAAAGCAGAGAAAGAAAAAAGAAACAAAAAAGAGAAAAAGAAAACAAACCACATCCAACAATGCAAATTCAAAAAACAAAAATACACCACAAACATATAAAAATAAAACCAACATTCTCAAATCTTCAACTTTCATTACCTTCTTTCTTTGACCTCCTCCTCCTCCCTTTTTTTTTGTATCCCAGTTATTAATTATCGCAGCAAATCCTTTCCATATTTCATAATATTCTGTCATTACATTACCTTAATCTATTTTCATCTTATCTTATAAAAAACCTTAAAACTTAAATCTTATTTTAAACATTTTTGCTAGAGCCAAGTAATTTTGTTCCAACATTTTTCTAACAGTCATCAGTTTTATAAAACAATCCTAGTAATAAAAAAAAGAAATAAAAACAATCCAATCTTCATCCAGCGTCCCTTCCTCCTGGTCCTGGGTTTTGTCAGTCCTTTTATCCCATCGATCTAGCGCATTAACCTGGTAACCTTATATCCGAGGCCCTTAAGTCCCTTCCATGTCCCTTCCGCAGCTCTTCTTCATATTCACCTTCCACTCGTGGGAACTCCAGCTTGGTAATGTTTTTGACCCTTTTCAACAAATCAGCCCCTTTTCCATAGTCCAGACTAAACTCCATGTAGTATTTAAAGACATGTTTCAGAATCCCTCCAAAATTGAGAGCCCCCACAGCTCCAAACATCTCACGGCCCATTGCCAGACTCGGAAAGTCCAAACAACCAGCATAGGGGGGTCTATCCAACCCCCCATTTCCAAATCAGTCCAAACTTTATCTTTCCTAATCTGGCTTTTTCCAAGTTCATTTGTCAAATCCAGAAGCTCATGTTCCTGCTGGGCCGCAGCTCCCTCCATCTCTGGCACCCAAGATTCCGCAACATCCTCTTCTCTCAACTGTTCTGTCAGGGCACACTCCTGATTTAATTCCTGGGTGGGCTCCATATAGTTTCCCACTGCCTGTTCAAAAATTCTGGCCGCATTAGTCATCAAATCCATCTTCTCAGTTAACTGTTCCAGTAGAGCATTTATTTTACAGAGAGCACACAACAGAGCTTCTGAGTACATTGTCCTACAAGGTCACAAGCCTTTCCCCACGATTGTAATCTGTGACAGCTGCAAGCTCCCTGGAATTAGTTACAGTTTCCCAGTCTCCCTCTAGGGGGAAAACTTCTAATTGTTCTTGCAACAAAGTTTCTTTTTTGAGATATTTTGTCAATATTTGTTCCTTTAAAATGCGAAAGGAAACATTGGAATCACTATGTTTCTCATCTTTTAGCTATCTGTCAAAAACGTTTGTCTCTGGTCAATGAGCTTCAAACGTCAGTCCTGACACCCCGCTCCAGGATCAGGACGGTGGAAAGTTACTTTACTTTAAACTCACTTCTGCAGGTTTAAACAGTCCGAAAAAAGATCCCCCTTCTTCTCCTGCTGCCGAAAGGGGGTTCGAGGATTTTAAATGATGAAAGCCGATCCTTTAGAAGCGATTTTCTGAGCTCTAGTTTACGTTGTCTTTGCTTTATTCTGTCTACAAAGAAACGGAAGGCTGACTTCCTGTTTAGACCTTCCCGTTTCAGTACCAAATTGAAGTAAATTTTTAAATCCAATTCCTTTCTGCTCGCAAATCCTTATTTAAAATCCAATTTGTTCAGGGTTTAAGTACTCACGGGTGCTTATTTTAGAAGCCAAATTGTCCCAGGAAAAAGGCAGCGCTCTCCGGCAAGGGCTATGCGGCAACGCTCCACGGAAATAGCAGTTGACTCACAGCACCGCGCCGCTTCCCCCTCTTCGCTTCGGAGCCCGTTAGTGGGTTCCTTTGCGGGTTGGGGGGGCGCTAAGGGTGCCCGCCGAGTCCCATGGTCACAGGCTTCATCCGCCTGTGATTTTTAAAAGGGTCCCCGCTTCGCCGTAGCGGAAAAGACCCGTTTCGCGCAGAGCTAGTCCCTCCAGTTCAGAGGGAGTCCGCCATTGCCGATGGCGCCACCCCGGAAGTCCACGAGGATCCCTTCTGACGCCACAGTTCTGTGATCCTAGTGGCTCTCAGCTGCAATGCCATTCCAGTACAATGGATTCCATCACTAATTTAAGCACAATGGATTAAAATTTTTAAGTTTTCCACAGCGAACGTTCCACTTAAGCCCATGTATGCCTGTGTGGTGGACAGCAGAGCCAGACCAGAGTCTGGTGGTGGAGTCCTTCTAAAACCCCAGCAGAGTGCTGAAGCCTCTCTCTGGTGGACTACGGAGCCAGGTAGCCACAGAGTGGGGAGGAACAGCGCTTTTGGGGGAGGGAGGGATAAAAGCAGCAGTTTCTGTGTGAGTGGCAGCTGATAACACACAAGTCCGGTTAATTAAAAGGGTTGGTTTATTGGTAAATTGTAGAAATTCATGTAATTGGTGTACCGTGAGGAGGATGCACTATATTTAATTGGGGGCGGTTGGCGGGAGCACATCCGCCACATTATTAATGGACGGATTCGCTGCCGTCTGCACAGAGAGTAAAAGTCCTGTGTTTCACAGTGCATGGAATCAACTGCCAAAGATGCGTAATGGAGAAGCCAGGGCTGCCATGCTCTCCTGCAGACGGAATCTGCTCAGTGACGGATGGTGGGGGATGTTTTACTGAGAAAGAGTACAAAGGTAAGGAGAACTTGCAGCGTGCTTCTTTTCTGTGTCTGTGTGTATATGCACCTGTATGTGGCGACACCAATTTATACCTCTGTCCCTGTCCACCACAGGCAGTCATGTGCAAATAATCTGAGGCCCCAGAGCCGGCCCTGCCATGAGGTAGACTGAGGAGAATGCCTCAAGCAGCAGAATAGAGCAGGACCCAGGAGCAGCAAAATCCCACCACTAGGGTGTTTTTTTTATGCTGCCGTGGTCTATAGCGTAGGCTGGGTGAGCTCTCTCCCTCAGGCTGTTCTCTCCCTCTTCCAGACAGTGCGCTGAGGACTGGCTCACTCCTGAAACCCCTGCCCACTCTGCTACTGGGGCGAGAGCAGCAGCCAAGATTGGCTGCTGCTCCTCCTTGCCCTTCTTCTTTAATCCCCAGCTGCCGCCTTCCTGAACTTGGGTGCTGGGCAGCAGGGCCAGGCACCAGGAAGGATCTGCCTTCCCTGAGCGCTAATTTGGGGTCCTGCTATAGAGGGGGAGCCTCCTGCCCCTCCAGGAGCAGGAGCAGCTGCCATTGCCACCAGCAACCCAACCTCAGTAGCACTTTCTTCTCAGTATACATGCATAGGCTCAGGTTGTATAGTTGCAATCCTCTACGCCGGTGGTGTTGAATTAGCTAAGTACTGTGGAGCCCCTACTTTTGAAAATGTCAGTATCTCTATGGTAGTTTTTGTTATGTTAATGGAATATCCTCCAACATCCCGGTGATGCAAATTGGGATATGGTCTGGTCCCTCAACGCAATTAAAAACCACCTCTATCTTGACAACGCCCCCATCTTCTGCGCAGATATATGCACCCCACTCAGTGACCCCTCGCTTCCCACTGGGCACCTCAACAGAGGCCTTGCCCCTCACTCATACACCCTCTACTCGTTCTCCCCCTGCACCATCCAACTGAGAGGGAAAGTGTGTGTGTGTGTGTGTGTTGCAGAAGGTATTCAGCTGAAAGGGAATTGTGCAGAGGATGCTATCTCCAACCCGTTCATTTCAATAGCCTTTTTAAGGTTCACTAAAGAAAAAGTAGCAGGAAGGTGAATAATTGCCTTATATTATTAGTATTATTAAATTTGCATGCTGCCCTTCATCTGAAGATGAACAGGGTGGTTCACTTTGTTGGGAACCCAGCCAAATGGGTGGGGTATAAATATTATTATTATTATTATTATTATTATTATTATTATTATTATTATTATCTAGTGGAATAGGGTGCAAACTACTACGTGTAAACTGATTTGAGCAGCAATACAACAGGCCATCCAAGCAGGAATGACAGCTGGGCTCAGGAAGAACCTGAAAAAGCCCTGGGCCCAACTGACCCTTATGCTCTGCAAATGGTGTTATAAAGAAGGCTGGTTCTGCTGTATTCTGTCACACCTTCCCAACATTCTGTCACACTCTGGTGTGGCAAACTAGCAAGATTCAAAACTGAACAGCAAAGTATGTATCAGCAGATCTGACTCTCCATTGCTGAAATCACTGGGTGGTCCATTCCTAATGCACTATATACAAAAAATGTGAGATGGGTCTTACACCAGGTGATCCTGACAGTAGCACAGGTACAGTGGTACCTTGGGTTACAGAGGCTTCAGGTTACAGACTCCGCAGGAGGCCCCATTAGCTAAAGTGGTGCTTCAGATTAAGAACAGTTTCAAATTAAGAACAGACCTCCAGAGCGTAACCCAAGGTACCACTGTATTAGGAAATACCTCATAAGTAACACAAAGATGCCTTCTTCTCTCCAAAATCCCAGATGGCAGAGTGAAGACAATAACCAAGGGCTGTTATGTAGATAATTCCAGATGTGAAACCAAATGGATAAATCATGCAGATGGAATTGAACATGAGAAACGCTGCTGTGCCAAAGACAATTGCAACAACAAATGGTAGAGTGTGGATGAAGACACACGTAACAGTTAAGGCTGAAATCCTACCAACACCTCTTGTGGATTAAGCACCATGGAACTCAGTAGAATTTCCTTCTGATTAAACATTCATACAATTACTCTAGATGAAAAATTGCATCCCTTCTTCTTTAATATTGTAAGACACCCTGATGATTGTGTTGTAGCGCCACCTATAAATTCTGTGAAGAACTAAATAAACATGATTTTAAATGCTGGCTGCTGTCTTTGCAAATGCACTCAGCTTCAGTGATTCCTTAATTCCCATTGCGCACCATGTTCAGAGTGGTGAAAAATTGAGGCTCTTCCTCATTTCACTGGAGGCATGGAGCTCCTAATCAGCTTTCATGAATCTGAATGGATTTTCCATGGGTGCCTGTTCCTGCACGAACATTACCAGAGGGCCTGGGACTGTAGCCTTGTGTGTATCTGAGCCTTTCTTCATATACAGTATTCCATTGCCATTGTCTATGCATATTTTTGAATGCACCCATAGATACAGCACCGCAGTTTGCGCCACCTCATGGTATCCTTAGCGCAGGGGTAAGCACACTTCCCTTGGGCACTTAGAAGAAATAAACACACTCTTGTCGCCGCCACCCAGTGGCAGAAGAAACCGCTTGGGCACCCGGAACGGCAAACATGACATGCACCTGGGGGCGTTGCGATCCACCCACAGAGGTGGGGCGATCCGCCCACATGGGTGCACCGAACCTCCTGGGGGTGGCTGCACCGCCTGCCAGCCATGCAAATATGCCTGGTGTGCGGCATTGGTCACCAGGGTTGTGAGTGCCGCTGGCCAGGGGGTGCATCCCCAGCGGCCAGCACCGCTCGCCGAGCGTATTTGCACAATCAGCGGGCAGATTTTCACGGCAACCGCACCAATCGTGAACATCCGCCCACTGGGGGTGGGAGCGCCGCCACGCTGATCTGCCCAGGGAGATTTTGACACACACCCAGGCATGACACCCGGGGCGCACCACACTCCACACACACCCCTTGCGATGCCCCTGCCACCACCATCCAGCAGCCGCCATTTTTTCCTCCACAATGTACCTTTTTCCTGGAGGTGAAAATGAGGATTTGAAAGCTGGCTTAGGCAGAGTTTGATGATTGTTCTACCTTCCTAAGTACTTTGGCAGGCAGCAGGTCTTCTAGTGGACACTGCAGAGTGCAATGCATAGCCAGATCCTGGGCCTTGTTCTTGCTTTGTCCATCTTCTCTCTAGCCGGGGAGCAAGCAGCATCATACAGACACTCCAGCTACAAATCCCCAGTGTCTCCTGGGATTGGAAATGAATTACATATAACTTTTAGAGGGGTGAGTGAAGATCATTCTGAGATTTCAAGCTGTGCATTACGGTTAGTCCTCTTTGTTGCCTACTAGAGTTAATGACATTGGTCATCCAAATACTCTAATTCATGTTGAAGTATAGTAGCAAAGGTTAATAGCCAAAGCTGTGCACCAGATTCAAATGAGGCCCAAATCTTGACAAAATCAGGCCTTTCACAGGCCTTGGAATCCAGGGATCCAGGCCTCGGAAGCCACTTGGGGAGGTACAATAAGGATCAGACTTTACACCTTGCAAGCTGGTAAACGGGAGGATCCAATCCTTTTCTGGTGCACTCACTTCAAAATGTATTTTAAAACCCTATACAATGGTACCTCAGGTTATGTACTTAATTCGTTCCGGAGGTCCGTTCTTAACCTGAAACTGTTCTTAACCTGAAGCACCAGTTTAGCTAATGGGGCCTCCTGCTGCCGCTGCGCCGCTGGAGCACGATTTTTGTTCTTATCCTGAAGCAAAGTTCTTAACCTGAAGCACTATTTCTGGGTTAGCAGAGTCTGTAACCTGAAGTGTATGTAACCTGAAGCATATGTAACCCGAGGTACCACTGTATTTAACTGTATGTTTAAATAGGTTTTAGAAAACCACCAGAAACCCTCAGATCTGCCCCTGAACTGCTGAAGAGACAGATCCAGGTGGGGAGGGTGTCCATCAGGGCAGCACAGTGTAAACTGGCCCAACCCAGGGGCCATACATCACAGGGCTAATTGCATGCCCTTCAACTGTCCTGATTAAATCGGGAAATCCTGTTTTGGGGGGCCATGCACTCATGCAAGAGCATGACACACAGAAACAAACATTTTTTAGCTCTGCGGAATCTCACTGGTCAGGTAACTTTGCAGGAGCATGACCTAGAAGACGTACATCCCAGTTTCCGGCTGGGACATGTTGGAGGGTATGAGACTGTGGGGTCTTTACACAGCCCTATTAATAACATTAAAAGAGCCCTGATGCATCTGATCAAAGGCTACCTAGTTTAGCATTTTGTTCTCACATTGGCCAACCTGATGTCTTTGGGGATCCCAGAAGTGGGACATGTCTTGAACAGCACAAGACACATGCAGTGAGACTTAGGTCATTACCAGCCTGGAGGAAGAACTACCTTGTCCCCAGGTAGGATGAAGTGGGCAGAAGGAGATGTACTTTGTTCCTTTTGATATAGCAGATGTACCCGTTGCTTTTTAATGTTTTGTGCCTGGAGCAGAAGGAGAAGGAGAAGGGTAAAGACAATCACCATGTATAGCTCAGTCCCAAGAATGCAGTGAAAACTGCTCTTTTGGATTATGCTAGGATAACATTCCATTTCAGCTTTTGGCACATCAGTTACTGACTGATGTGAACTATTTAAATTTATTAAATACCTCCAGGGCTACCTCTTCAGTCCTTCTCTAGGTGCTTATTCAACTATGGTATTTTGGAATACTATCCCCAAGGAAGCTTGCCTGCTGCTTTCAAATTTTTCTTTTTTAGTTTTTAATGTACCAAGGTGAAAGCGTCCTTGTTTACTCAGGTTTAGGGAGCTCTGTTTAATCAGCATATGATATCATTCTAGCCAGGTTCGGTGTTCACCTTCTAGTGGTTTAGAATTCCTTCATTTTAATTCTTTTCGGTGGATGAACACTTCTATGATACTTACAATTCATTCTGTATAATGGATTCTAAATGTTTGATACATATTCAACTAAGTCCTACCCAGAGAAGGCCCACTGAAAGTAATGAAGGTAAGCTAGCCATGTCTACTAATTTCAATGGGTCTACTTTAAGTAGGACTAACATTGAATACCACCGTCTGTCTTTTAATATTTTTTAAGCTGTGTTGAGATTTTAAAAGATAAACAATAAACAGATGCAATAAAGTTATATCCTTTGGAATGCTTTTCTGGTTCCTTTTTCAAAACCTTACCCGAAAACCTGCATTTTATTGACCTTTTCAGCATACAGTGAGACTAAAATCCAGTTTTGGTCAATGAAATGCAGGCTATTGGACGGGCTAGCAAAGAAAACACATGAATGTGTTTGAAGGTGCACTTAGTGTTTAGCTCAGTTTATGAATGTAGCTGTATTTTATAGTCAGCATGTGAGACACTAGAAACCTTGTACTAGAAGAAGAAGAAGAAGAAGAAGAAGAAGAAGAAGAAGAAGAAGAAGAGGAGGAGGAGGAGGAGGAGGAGGAGGAGGAGTTTGGATTTGATATCCTGCTTTATCACTACCCTAGGAAGTCTCAAAGCTGCTAACATTCTCCTTTCCCTTCTTCCCTCACAGCAAACACTCTGTGAGGTGAGTGAGGCTGAGAGACTTCAGAGAAGTGTGACTGGCCCAAGGTCACCCAGCAGCTGCATGTGGAGGAGCGGGGACGTGAACTCGGTTCACCAGATTACGAGTCTACCTCTCTTAACTACTGCACCACACTGGCCTAGAGAAGGAAGTGGTGGAAATCAGGTTCCTTCCTCGTCACACAACTGGGGAAGTCTGCAGGCCTGAGGCTTTCAAGTTCGCCTCCAGAGCTTTCATGTCTAGCAGGATTAGGTAACCTGAGGAGCCAATAAGGTCCCATCTGACCTTATATAGCAACTATTGGTCCATCTGTTCCTTACTTTGAATAACTTCTTGCTGGGGGCAGCTTGTCTTGTTACAGACTTCCCAGGAGCCCTGCCTGATCTCACTGAAGGGCCAGAGAAGAAGCTGCTTCACTCTTTCTATGCAAAAAGGTCATTCAATGGGACCCAGTTTCTTCCCAGGGTCTTGGGGGCCACGGATGGCTCTCTCTTGGTTTTGCTGCTTACATTTTCTTTGATCTCAGCCCAGGAGGTAAGTCCCAACTACAAGAGGAAGGTTCATATGTAGATTACCCATACTCCCAATTTATTCAACAATGAACTGAGGCCAGGGCACAGTGTGGTGGCTCCCAGCTGCAATGCCCTGTTCCATTATGGAGGATCCCCACTCCCTTTTTCCCCACACCTGAATAATTTAAATTTTACAGATGCCGTTTTCTACAATGAACATTCCCCCTCCAAAGAGGGTATGCAAGGAGACTCAAATATAACGTCTGTCTTTCACAGCACATGGGATCATCTGCTCGATTTGTACAGTTGCGGATGCGACAGAGAAATGCATTCCTATAAAAGGATTCTGTGAAGTTTCACATGGGGGCTGGATGATGGAGAAACGATATAAAAGTAAGGAAGGGCTTCCAGGATATTTCTTTTCTTTTTACACCCATCCTTTGCCACCGTTGTTGAGATGCAAAGGAGGGCATGCTTCCTGTGACTTTATTGCTAGTGTAGAATCATAGAATCATAGAATCATAGAGTTGGAAGAGACCACAAGGGCCATCGAGTCCAACCCCCTGCCAAGCAGGAACACCATCAGAGCACTCCTGACATATGGTTGTCAAGCCTCTGCTTAAAGACCTCCAAAGAAGGAGACTCCACCACACTCCTTGGCAGCAAATTCCACTGTCGAACAGCTCTTACTGTCAGGAAGTTCTTCCTAATGTTTAGGTGGAATCTTCTTTCTTGTAGTTTGGATCCATTGCTCCGTGTCCGCTTCTCTGGAGCAGCAGAAAACAACCTTTCTCCCTCCTCTATGTGACATCCTTTTATATATTTGAACATGGCTATCATATCACCCCTTAACCTCCTCTTCTCCAGGCTAAACATGCCCAGCTCTCTTAGCCGTTCCTCATAAGGCATCGTTTCCAGGCCTTTGACCATTTTGGTTGCCCTCCTCTGGACACGTTCCAGTTTGTCAGTGTCCTTCTTGAACTGGTGGAGTTGAACTGGTGGAGAAGGTGGAGTTTCGGCAAATACATTTTTGCCTACATCACAATATGCTAGTC